GATGAGGAGTTATTATTATAACTAGTAATGAAGTTGTTATATGATGTCTCATCATGGACGAAAATGATGATTATGAGGAGTTATATACCAATGATATATTATGATGATAAGTTGTTAATGATATTATGATGATGATGATAAGTTATTATGTTATTGGGTGAAAGAACCGCGGATTAGTTTCAAATGGATGGATCCAAAGTGACCATTGGTTACTTTGGATCCATGCACTTAAAACTAATCCAAAGTTCTTTCACCTAGCGACTTAATAACTCATTATGATGTTAAAACAATCTCTAAATTGCTACTGTATGAAAAATTGTATACAAGTGTATGAATACGACCTAAAATTCAAAACAAATGGAATACAGAATAATAGTAGTACAGGTTGTTTTCGAAAGCGCTACAAGTAGTTGGCAGTAGCGATTGGCACGGAAAACGCTACTACTAAGAAGATATATCAGTAGCGCATGCCAGTCTGCGCTACTGCTAAGCTTTAGCTGTAGCGTCTTATCAGTAACGCGCCCACCCACGCTACTGATAGGACAAAAACCAACACTACTGCTAGGCTTTTCCCTAGTAGTGATACATGCTCCGGAGCTTTGCTAGACACATCTTTAAAATTGTGGCCACTCTTGATCAACCCACTCCAGGTAAGAACACTTCCGTTCATCCTATAATATTTAAAACTAAATCAGTTACAATGTAAGAAAGATAGGTCACTAGCAACATAGAAAATCACCACATACATATTTTAAAAAACTGAATAAACACGTTAATTATGACATATCTTTTCAAGAACTTTAATGTGTAATAAACTAATTGCTATTGAGACAACAACCAAATTCAAGAACATCACAAGCTATAATTAACTTCAACAACACTACAAATTCTTAGTCATGTACTATAAATAACAAATTGAACATTTTATGAAGAGGCTAAATAGGACGTGATGCCTATATACATGATCATTGCCTTGGATATCATCAGGATTATTCACTTTTCTATTAATTGCCCAACAATAATTTTTTACCCACTGTATGCTATTTTCAAGAGAGAAGACTCTAGTGAAAACTATGGCCCTCGGTCTACTTTTATCATATATTAAAATCCAAAAATACCTTTCTGCAATTATATTTACTTTATTTTATTTTGTATTTTTATTCTATCTATGTATCACTATGAGATTTGATCTTTGCAATTAACCGCCAAGGGATTGACAACCCTTTGTTTGCGTTGGGTGTAAGTATTTGTTATTTTGTGTGTAGTTACTGCTAATGAGGTGTTGTGTTGTTTTCTTACAAAATTGATAACCTTGGTTCTTAATTGAGGGAAATAATTATCTCTACTGTACTATATCATCCTCTCCTTTTCAAGAAAATCTCAACACAGCTCACAAGTCGCAGTCGTCTCGTCTCCTAATTCCCAGGCCGTGTAGGTGAGGGCCACATATGGTTCCGGAGCCAAGCTAAATGAAAACGACTGATACGAACGTTCCTACTAAGTAAGGCCCAACAGTGCTTAAAATTTCGATGCAATCCGAACATCCAAAGGGGCAAACAAAAGCATCCCCAGACCTTGTATGGAGGCACACCCTTATATTTCTTACAGAAAATTATACTTTTCGTCACTCAATTCTTTGCAGAGCCAAGATTTGGTCCCTCAACTCCAAAACCAAACAACTTGCACCCTTAACTATTGAAACTGGGCAAGGTTCATCCCTGGTCAAGGTTTTGATCGGTTTCGACCGTGCCGACTCAAATTCACGTACATTTTCCATGTCCGTTTAATGTTTTCAAATTCAGGTATTTTTCATATACATAAACTTTTTAAAAATTTGTGTAATTTTTTCAAATCCACGTTCTTTTTTCCAAGTTCACATACTTTTTTCAAATCCATGTACTTTTTTAAAGTTCATGTAGTTTTCTCAAATTCAAGTATTTTAAAAAACATTGATGCACTTTTACTTATTTGCGTACCTTTTTCGGAAAGAGTTCATGAATTTGAAAAAAATATCCGAAGTTGAAAAAATACACGAACTTTAAAAAGTATGCGGATTTGAAATAGGTACGCAAATTTCAAAAACACTTCAAGGATTTGAAAAAAAATATTTGGATTTGATAAAATTATACGAACTTGGAAAAAATATGCGGATTTGAAAAAAGTAAGCAAATTTTAAAAAACGTATTTGAAAAAGTACACAAATTTCAAAATAGTTCATAGATTTGAAAAATATATGTTTGTTTTCGAAAAATATACTTGACCTTGTAAAAACTACGTGAATTGAAAAGAGTATGTGAATTTCAAAAAGTTCATGGACTTGAAAATACGCAAATTTGAGTCAACACCAGTCAAAACCGGGGTGAGTCAGCACCAAAACCTGTCAAAATTGAGACCTACTTTGTCCGTTTTTGGTAGTTTGGGGTGCAAGTTGCCGGTTTAAAAGTTGAGGGACCAAATCTAGACTTCATTAAGAGTTGAGGAACGAAAAGTATACTTTTCTCTATTTCTTAACCTAATGTTGCATGTAATTTTATAGAGTTGAATACACTAGAGGTGCCTCAACTTGTCTTGCATGATTAGTTTGGTGCCTAAAGTTGCAAAATACACAAAACTGATGCTCGAACTTGTCCGTCCATGCAAATACGATGCCTCTATCTATATCCGGATGTCCGTCCAACCCTTGTGGCGTGCCAGCGTGGCGGTGACCCACCTGTCAGTGGCTGAGAGTGGGAAAGTGTTGGGTGCTCCGCATGTGAGGATTATTTTTACAGAAACTCGCTCGTATTTTATTTAATCACTTAGGAAACACCTGAAATATAGTGTATGCTAGCGAGAAATAACATGAAAAATGATCATATTGGAGATGTTTCGAACCTGGCAACTACTGGCCAAATACGGCTCGATCTGTCCAGTGGGCCGAAATAAGATATGCGTTCACCTATTAGCTAGAAAGCTATGTAGACACATTCCACGTAGCGCTATGCAATTTTCCTAATGCATTATTGATGGTTTAATTTTTATTTTTAACAAGTTCCTGTTCAGTTTCATGGCACGTAAATTTTACAATATAGAGAAGCAATATGAATTATTTCTTATTTGAAATATTATTTTTTTAGTTATTGCGTACTCTCAAAAGGTAGACAAGAAAATTTTCAACAAATTTACGGGGATTGAAATAGTTCAACCTGTATTAGAAATTAGTGTGTCAATCTGTGTATGTTCATTCTGTACAAAAAGCACACACTATAATTGTTTATCTTCATGGTATTTCTAAAATACCCAATTATTAACAAGTTGACAAAGTTGTATTGTAAACCATTCAACATGCATTAAGATGTATGTCGTTGAATTTTTTAATTCAATTATTCAAAATGTTTCAGAATTATTTTTTAGTACACATAGAACTTTTTTGTAAATATACATTGCCAATTTTTTAATGCAAGACGAATATTTTTCAAAAACACGTTATAATTTTTAATACATGTGAAGCATTTTCTGAAAACACTTTGAACATTTTTCAAACGCACTAACACTTTTTTTAAGTTTAGGGCACTTGTAATTGTTCTTAAATTTTTTTGAATAGTAAAATAATATGAAAACTAAAAATAAAGAACTTGAAAAAATAAAAATAAAACTTGTGTGGGTTCATATAAGCACCATATATAAATAAAAATCGCTTGAAGAGGTACATAACAACCAAATCGGATTTTTGAAGCATGGTGGCTACTAAGCATGTTTTTTTTTGAAAAGCTGAAAACTGGGACTAAGTTCTCTAGTGAGTTTCAAAAAGAGTTGATTGTTTTCACATAAAAACGTATGCATGTGCTCTAAGTGACTTCGAAATTTCATTCAAAATTATGTTATATCATACCCTGCAAAAAAAAAATCCGGTCAAAAATACAAGCTGATGTTTGCATGTCTTTTTCTTTTTTAACCACGTACAAACGTAGATTTTGATGAAAATTCACACAAATATATTACACCTCTATGTGTGTGCATGTACAAAAGATATCATAATTTTTTTAGCTGTAAGAATACGTTCCCTTTTTGAACTTAAAAGAAAAGACACAATGTGTCCGTGCTCCAAAGTTAGTTTATGCGATAACAAATTAATAAATAGAGTTCGACGTCGGCATCATGAGGTATCAGGTTAGAACCTACATCATGCATTTTTTTTCTAATTTGTGGGGTTTTCCTACATGGTTAAATAAAACATGAAGGGGTTTTATTTAACCATGCGCGGGCTAGTCTCCCCAACTCCCAGCCACTGACACGCTGACACGCCACACGGGCTGGACGGGCGTCCGGATACGGATGTAGGCATCGTATTGCATGGACGGACAAATTCAAGGATCAGTTTTGTGTACCCCCAACCCCAAAATAGAAAACCAAAATGGAGTTTATGTTTCCGAAATTACAGTGACGCACTATATTAGGCCTACAACAGTTTAATTATGCAAGCCTGAATAACAGGGAGAATCTCAGCCACCCACAATCATCACAGTAGCATAATCATCGTAGGTACTGAAATCAATTGCGATTTAATGAGAAATACAATCTCATGAGCTTTAGCACAGCCGGATATTTTAGTGATAACGCTTTTCCCATCAGGAGAGAAGAAACACAAGTACTTTTCAGACAGCTGGGCAGTAATATACTAATATTCTCAAATCGAATTGTACTGTCAAAAGTGGTACGTACGTACATCTTTATAGTTCTTCTCACTCTCGTGTATGCGCTCTACAAAATGATCAGCAGACATGATGCATGTGCTACTACTGCACCTCTCCAAAAACAAGCCAAACAGCAGCTGCCGATGCAACCGGTAATTACACGGTCATACGTACTGTATATCTAAGTGTATAAACGACGCCGTCGATCGCTGCAGCGGGTAGGCTGATGAGTACAGCAACCACCAACCACCAACCACCGGCAGCAGAGGAAGACAGGCAGGACGGCGACGAAATGTACAAGGGACGGGCGGCGACGGCGCGTGCCGATCAGCAGATGACGCACGAGTTGGGGTCCTCCTCGGCGCTGCGGACGAAGTAGCGCGGCGGCGGCGGCGGCGGCGGCGGGTACCCGTAGTGCGCGTAGCCGTAGGGCGGGTACACGGCCATGGGTGGCTTCGCCTCCTGCTGCTTCTTGTCGCCGCCGTCCTTCTTGGCCCCGTCTTTCTTGTCGCCGCCGCCGTCCTTCTTGTCGCCCTCCTTGTCTCCGGCGGGCTTCTTGTCCCCTCCGCCGTCCTTCTTGTCGTCCTTCTTCTCCTCCTTGGCCGGGCCGACGGAGACGATCTGCACGCCCGGGAAGAGCTTGCGCAGCTTGCCGACGACGGCTACGGGGTCGACGGTGCCCACGATGGTCATCTTCTGCTCCTTCATGTCCACGCCCAGCTGGTCGATGCCTGAGGAGGCGGTCCAAATTCAGATATGGATGAGGATTTTGGCCTTCAATTCCGCCCATAATTACTGTGCGACGAAGCAGAGCAAGAGGAAACAAGGATGAACTAGTACCGTGGAGACCGGAGACGGCCTTGAGCGCCTTGGCCTTGTGCCTGTCGTCGTGCACGTCCAGCTTGAGCACAACCTTCTGCAGCGCCACACAAGAAAAACCAAATCAGCAAACCGTAGGAGCAAAACGAAGCCAAGAGCCGCAAAACAGAACAAAAATTAAGCCCCCAGCCCAGCTCGATCGATCGACTGCAAGCGATCACGTACGTACCTTCATGGCGGCGAGCGACCGGGGAGGATGCTTCAACGTTGCCGAGCTGATGGAAGCGCAGCAACGGGACAAGAGGGGAGGGCGGAGCGAATTGGAACGGCCGGAGTGCGGAGTGTAGTGCTCTGTCACTCTGGGCTCTGGCGATGGATTCTGTGGCTACTGGCGACGGACAAATGGTGGATGGCAAGGGGAGTGACCGGCCACTGGTTTTATAGGCGGCTGGCACCGGAGCGGGCTCGAGCAAGGCCCGGCGTCTGCGTTTACGTTGGGGCCAAGGAAGCCGCGACGAAGGTCGCCACGGGCCGATCGGGCGGAATCCCGTGGTATCAAACACCGGTGGATTATGCCGAAAAAACAAACGCGGTTGGATAACCACACGGCGGCAAGACGTACTTTCTTGTGAGGGTTTTTTTCTTTATAAATGGAGGATGACCCCCAGCCTCTGCATCTGGGCGATGCATACGGTCACTTTATTAATTATTCTCACAAGACTTTACAAAGTCATAGAACAGCAAGACTAAAGCCACCGTCTAAGCAACAATTGTCGCTACACCTATCCAACAGTGGCGGCGCCAGGGGTATGCTCCTGTATTCACAGGAATACCCAAGATTTTTATGCAAAAAAATTACATGTATACATATTCACAGGTCAGCCAGAACCCACGCCTCTCACCCTCGCCTCGACTCCTCGTACGCACGCCCAGTCGCCCGACTCGCGCGAGTAGCCAGACACGGTCGCCCTGTGTCTGCCCCTCTCCCAGTCTTCAATCTCCCTCTCGCCCAATTCTGCTCTCGCCTCTCCTCATCTCCCAATCCCAGATCCCGCTTGGC